CTCCCATGCAGATAAATGGCCAACAGGCAGCCCACACACCGCCCACAGGACTTAATTGGCCATGCTGACGATAACTTTCAGCTGGACCAATTCAGGAGCACATCTGACAATAACTATGATGAGACATTCTTACTCTCTAAGGATGAGAAAAGCAAGTCTCTGCAAGATGATACAACCTATCTTTCTAAGAAGGTAAAACCAGGAGTCTGTCTGGACAGCAAAGCCTTGGGCAAGCCGCCATTTCTCTGGGCCCCAGTTTCCTTGTTGAAAAGCCAGGGCAGGGACGCCTCTGTCTACCGCTCCAGGTTGGCGTGAGAAATCCGGTGATATCATGCTCTGACCAATGTGTGGTCGTATGAAAATGGAAGGAGGTGGATCGTAGTGTTAAAAACAATGATGCCTGTGTTCAAAGGGTTGCTTGTAATTATTTGTTTTCTTGATTTGAAGATGAAGCACTTCCCGAGAATGTCTGAAGAGGAAGAGTCGTTCCTCTTTGATAACGGCCATAGTTTTCCACCAGGGACTGTTGTTATGAAATATGAATAGGAGTATGTGGAAGAACAATTAAATAATTTGTATTTTAGTGTTTATGAAGCACTTTCTTAAAATTTTTTTTAATGCTTATTTTTGAGAGAGAGAGAGAGAGTGCAAGCGGCAGAGGGACAGAGAGAGAGGGAGACACAGAATCCAAAGCAGGCTCCAGGCACCAAGCTGTCAGCAGAGAGCCCTACGCTGGGCTTGAACTTGCAAACCTCAAGATCATGACCTGAGCCGAAGTCGGACACTTAACTGACTGAGCCACCCAGGTGCCCCACGAAGCACTTTCAAATCCATGGCCCATTGAGCCATTTCGTGGTGAAGACTACAGCTTTGGCATTTGGCAAACCTGTAATAGGTTCCTAAGTCCAACACTTACTAGCTGTGTGAGTGGGCAAGGCACTTAACCTCTCCAAACCTCAGTTTCTTCATCTGTAAAAGGGGATGATTCTATTCAAAGAGTAGTTTAGAGTATTTAGTGTGGTGATGCATACAGAGCACCTCAAATAGCCTGGCACAAGGTAAGTGCTCAGTAATCCTAGCTAATATTATTTGCGTTGTTTGTAACGCCATCCTCATGATCTCTTTGATGAGGTCCATGGTATTATGTGCCCCATTCCTGAGAAGAGAAACATGTGACTCACAGATAGTCTTGCCTGGGGTGGCCTGGCTGGTGGGTAACAAAGCCAACCCAGGCTCTAGCTCCAGCCCGTGGTCCCTGACCTCACAGTTGCTGAATATTCGACTGGTTGATGCTGCTTCATATTCAAAGACCTTTGTTTGTGGTAATAAGAGCTCTTTGTTGGTGGCCAGAAGGAGTGGCCTCCAGCCAGGGCTCTGACCCTTTAGCCTCCAGGCACACTGCGCCCCCCACCCCCACCCCCACCGCACTCCCCACATTTGCTTTAGGAACTGCTGTTACTAATGGAAGTGTGTCATTTCCTCAGGGTGTGTTGGAGCAGGGAAATGCCAAGGTTGAGTGAGATTCACAGGCTTGCACTTGGCAGCTGGCAGGGCTCCAGGCGCGTGTCTGTGTGTCATCTGCAGTGGGACAGCTGTTCCGTTGTGCCTGAACGTGCTTATCAGAGAGGCAAACATTACAGATCTGCACCGTCAGACTCCAACTCAGACAGCCCGGCCTTGGCTGGTCCCCCACTCCCCAGCACCCCCTCCTCATAATAGCTGTAAGTACACTTTATGGAGCCACTGTGTGCCAGGCTCTAAATGTTTCTCCCTATGCGGTTGCCTTTAACGCGCATAAGCCGGCCCCTGTGGTGGGTCCCATCCTTAGCTCTGCAGCCCCCAGAGGGATCCTCTAAAATGTGGTCAGATCGGGACATGTTTCGCCTCTGAACCCTCAGTGGCTTCCTGTCTGCCACATCCAAGGGGCATTCCTGACCCATAGAGTCTCACTCGGTGTGGCCCCAGCCACCTCTCTGACCTCCACTTTTCCATGCTCCCTGCCCCAGTTACCTATTGTTGCTAACAGACTACTCCGAACGTGATGGCTTAGGCCATTTTATGGTTTCTGCTGATTCTGTGCATCAGGAAATCAGCAGGGCATGGAAGAGATGTTTTGCTCGGCCGCATGTCATGTCTGTTGGGTCTGGAGCGTCCAGGTAGTCCCTTCCTGCCCCTGGTGGTGCTAAAAGTGAGGGTGACCCAAGGGCTGGGGGCAGCTACAGCAGCTGCTGGGGTCAGAGCTGGGGTCTCTGGTTCTCACTGTCTGCTGGTTCCTCACTTCTCTTCCTTGGACACCCGGGGCTTCTACCTCTCCACTTGCCAACTTTCTACACGACAGCCTCGGCGTCCCAAGAACACAAAAGCGGACGCCTCTAGGCCTTTCAAGGATTGGGGCTACAGATGGCAGAGAAACACTTCTGTTGCGACCTTTGGTTAAAGCAAGTCACAGATCCAGTCCCGATTCAAGGGGAGGGGACCGCAGAGGGGCTGGTGTGGTTCATCACAGGTCAGCAACCCCAGAACCTATCACTGCCTGTTCATTCACTCCTCTCCAGCCACACAGACCTCTGTGCCCTTCCTCAAGCATGCCGCACACACCCCAGCCTTGGGGCCTTTGCGTTTGCTGTTTCCCTCCCCTTGGATTCCCTTCCCCAAATATACACAGGGATCAGGTCCTCTATTCAACCTTGGCTTAAATGCTACTTTAGTACCAAGATCATACCGTACCTACCTTATCAGAAACAGTGCCTTCCTTCCACATGTCACCTGTCTCCTTACCCCCCTCTGGTTTTGTTTTTGCATTTTTCACCTCCTGGTGTATTTATCACCTACTTACTGTCTAATCTTCCCCTGTCCCCACCCCAGAATATAAGTGCCATGTGAGTAGGGCGTTTGCTTTGTTCACCGCAGTGTTCCTAGCTCTAGATCTGACCCATGGTAGCCACATTTGGTGAATGAATGAGTATTTGAGATGAGGAGAGTGAAGTTCAGAGAGGTTAAGTAACTTTCCCAAAGACACACACACTAATATTCGACAGAGCTAAGATTCAAATCCAGGCTTAATCCATGAAGCCTTAGAAGTTTCACTACCTGTAGGGGTAATTGCTGCTTAGGTAATTATGGCTGTTTCCTATTTCCTCTCCCTGTTTCCTGTCTCCACTCAAGGTGGTTTTCCCACAACTAAAATTGGATCAGGCATAAACCCATCTTGAAGGGGCACCCTCACCTTCCGCAGAAGGCCCTCCTTTCTTAGACCGCTGCACAAGGCACAGCAAAATTTGGCCTCCAGCTGTAGCCTGGTGTGGTAGAGCAAATAATAGATTTTTGAGTCAGGCAGACCTCATTCTGTTTCCAGCGCCCCCACTCATTAGGCTAAGCATGGGCAAATTAGGAATGTCATCCATCCACCCAGCCATCCATCCACCTAATGAGTCTTTATTGAATTCCTCTCTGAGTCAGGGACAGTGCTAGGTTCCAGGGTGCATTGGTGAAGACATCATCACCGCCCCAGCCTTCCGAGAACTTCTAGTCCACTGGAAGGGAAACATGTGCTCACACAGTCACACAAATAAATTTATTTACAAATACTCTACTTATTTACTTATTGTGATAAGTACTGTAAAGGACTTAGTGTATGTGTAGGGGGGAATGGCACCTGTAATAGTGCAATGGGGCAGGGGCGTTTCCCTGAGTAAGTGACATTTGAGTGGGAGCTAATGGGATAAATAGATGTGGCAAGTTCATTCCAGGCAGAGGGAACAGCATATGCAAAGGTTCTGAGGAGGAGGGAGCAGGGCCCATCTTAGTGTCTGAAAGATCCTAAGAAATGTGTGGTCGGAGGGCAGAGAGCCTGAGGAACTGGAGACACAGATGGGAATCCAACCAGGTAGGGCTTTGAGGGGCCTGGGCATGGGGTTGGGGAACCCATCAGCTTTATTTTTTCATCTGTAAAATGGGAATGGCAACAGTACCTCCCTCAGTCTGAGTGAGCAGCTGTGGCCAGCTGGGTGACAGCGGGGTGTGGCGAATCTCAGCTGGGTTGATCATCCTCTGCTGCAATGGTCTCATCCTCCAGTGGGTTAGCATTGGGCTTGTTCACAAGGCAGCAGCTGGGAGCCAGAGAGCAGCAGAAGCCAGCGAGGCTTAGGAAGGGGCACAGCATCGCTTCTGCTGCATCCTGTTGGTCCGAGCAGATCACAAGGCCGACCCAGATCCATGAGTGCATGTGAAACTCTCCACACAGTGCCTGGTGCACAGGAAATGCTCTGTAAATGCGATTATTATTGTTGTTGCTATTGATGTTATCATCGTGCATTTGCATAGTGCTTTATGCTTTTCAAAGTTTTGTCCTATACATCATTATAGCCTACACTATGTGAAGAGAGTTGGGGCATATGGTACCAGCCCCATTTGACAAATGTGGAAGAGTTCACATAACTGTCTCAGGTCACACATTTAGCTGGTGGCTGCAGCCAAACACTAGAACTCAGATATCATGTAACCTAACGCATATTTGCACACACATCTGCTGAAAGTGAACCCATTTGTGGATGATGTCGTCATCCCGAGCACCGTCCTGGTAAACAGAATAATTTAGATACAAATGTTTTAGGGGCGCCTGGGTGGTTCAGTCAGTTGGGCGTCCGACTTCAGCTCAGGTCATGATCTCACAGCCTGTGAGTTCGGGTTCCACGTCGGGCTCTGTGCTGACAGCTCGGAGTCTGGAGCCTGCTTCAGATTCTGTGTCTCCCTGTCTCTCTGCCCCTCCCCCACTCATGCTCTGTCTCACTCTGTCTCTCAAAAATAAATAAATGTTAAAAAAAATTTTTTTTGAATACATTAAAAAGAAAGATACAAATGTTTTTGTCTGTGGCACAGGCTAGTGACCATCTGCCAGGTTTGGGTATGGCCTCTGAGACTCAAGTTCTCCTATGCAAGTTTTGTGTTTTTGGCTCCCAGGCTCAGTGGGGTCACTGATGATTCTCTTTTTTCTTGCTCAGAGAACCTCTCGTTGGACTCCAGTTGCTTTTCCTCTCCACCTGTGAATTTCCTTCAAGAATTGCCAAGCTATCGGTCCATTGCACGCAAGAGGACGACCATTCCTACCCGAGAGAAGCAAAGTGGCACTTTGCTAAAGCCGACAGACTCTTACAGCTCCCAGTTGGAGGGAGGAATCACTGAAAACCTCAATAGCCAATCGATTCGGAAGTATGCACTGAACATCTCTGAGAAGCGGAGGCTAAGGTTTGTTCAGTAGCCATCTGGAAGGCATTTGATGTATGTTTTAGGCATGGGTGTGTTGTATGCATGGAATGCATTTCCTGAAGAGTTCATGTAATTAGAAATGTATTACTTAAGGTAATCCACACTGCAGTGACAAAGTTACCCGAACATGTAATAACTCAACATATTAGAAATTTCTTTTTTTTTTTTTTAATGTTTTATTTATTTTTGAGAGAGAGAGAGAGAGAGAGAGAGAGAACACAAGAAGCAGGTCGGGGAGGGGTGCAGAGAACAGAGGATCAAAACAGGCTCTGTACTGACAGCACAGAGCCACATGCAGGGCTGGAACTCACAAATGGTGAGATCGTGACCTGAGCTGCTGAGCTGAAGTCAGACACTCAACCAGCTGAGTCACCCAGGTGCCTCTAGAAGTTTATTTCTTGTTCACATAAAAGTCCTGGGTTCAGATCAAGGGGGATCTTTGTAGTCATTCAGGGACCAAGGCTCCCTCCGTCTTGTAGCTCTGCAAACCCCCAAAGCCTCATCGTCTGTAGTTACTCCTCTCTTTTTCCCCTCCCCTCAGCTACTAATCTACTCTTTGTCTTTAGATTTGCCATTCTGGACATTTCATATAAATGGAATCTTACAACATGTGACCTTTTGTACCTGGCTTCTTTCACTTAGCATCATGTTTTCAAAGTTCATCCAAGTGGTGGTGTATATCAGTATGCAGTTCCCTTTTTTTTTGCCCTTAACAAGGAGTGGCTTTATTTATTTATTTTTTTCTGATTTGAATATTTTATTTTATTTTATTTTTTTAATGTATGAAATTTATTGTCAAATTGGTTTCCATACAACACCCAGTGCTCATCCCAAAAGATGCCCTCTTCAATACCCATCACCCACCCTCCCCTCCCTCCCACACCCCATCAACCCTCAGTTTGTTCTCAGTTTTTAAGAGTCTCTTACGCTTTGGCTCTCTCCCTCTCTACCTTTTTTTTTTCTTCTTCCCCTCCCCCATAGACTTCTGTTAAGTTTCTCAGGATCCACATAAGAGTGAAAACATATGGTATCTGTCTTTGTATGACTTATTTCACTTAACATGACACTCTCCAGTTCCATCCACGTTGCTACAAAGGGCCATATTTCATTCTTTCTCATTGCCACATAGTATTCCATTGTGTATATAAACCACAATTTCTTATTCCATTTGTCAGTTGATGGACATTTAGGCTCTTTCCATAATTTGGCTGTTGTTGACAGGGCTGCTGTAAACATTGGGGTACAAGTGCCCCTATGCATCAGCACTCCTGTATCCCTTGGGTAAATTCCTAGCAGTGCTATTCCTGGGTCATAGGGTAGGTCTATTTTTAATTTTTTGAGGAACCTCCACACTGTTTTCCAGAGCGGCTGCACCAGTTTGCATTCCCACCAACAGTACAAGAGGGTTCCCGTTTCTCCCCATCCTCTCCAGCATCTATAGTCTCCTGATTTGTTGATTTTAGCCACTCTGACTGGCGTGAGGTGATATCTGAGTGTGGTTTTGATTTGTATTTCCCTGATGAGGAGCGATGTTGAGCATCTTTTCATGTGCCTGTTGGCCATCTGGAGGTCTTCTTTAGAGAAGTGTCTATTCATGTTTCCTGCCCATTTCTTCACTGGATTATTTGTTTTTCCTTTTTTTTTTTTTTTTTTTTGTAAGTTTACTTATTTATCTTGAGAGAGAGAGGGAGAGTGTGCATGTGTGCTCATGAGCCTAGGAGAGGGGCAGAGAAAGAGGGAGAGAAAGAGAATCCCAAGTGGATTCTGCACTGTCATGCAGGGCTTAATCTCATGAACTGTGAGATCATGACCTGATCTGAAATCAAGAGGCAGATGCTAAGCTGATTGAGCCACCTAGGCACCCCCCCTTTTAAAAAAATTTTTTTAATGTTTATTTATTTTGAGAGAGGGAGAGATAGAGCATAAGCAGGGGAGGGGCAGAGATACAGGGGGGGGGAGAGAATCAGAGAGAGAGAGAGAGAGAGAGAGAGAGAGAGAGAGAGAGAGAGAGAATCCTAAGCAGGCCCCACAGTCAGTGCAGAGCCAGACGTAGGGCTCAAACTCAAGAACCAAAAGGTCATGACCTGTGCTGAAACCAAGAGTCAGATGCTTAACCAACCGAGCCACCCTGGTGCCCCAATATGCCATTCCTTTTTATGGTTGAATGATATTTCATTGTATGGATGTGCCTCATTTTGTTTGTCCATTCATCCATTGGTGGGCATTGGGTTGTTTCCGCCTTTCAGTTCTTGTGAATAGTGCTGCTATGAAAATTTATGTACAAGTTTTTGTTTGAGACCCTGTTGTCAGTTCTTTTTGGGGGTATCTACCTGGGGGTAGAATTGCTGGGTCATATCAGAATTCTGTGTTTAACATTTTGAGGACTATCCAGACTGTTTTCCTTAGCGGCTGCAGCATTTTACACTTCCACCAGCAGTGTATGAGGGAGGGCTCCAGGTTTTCCACATCCTGTTGGCTGGGATTTTATTTGATGCTGAGGCTTGATGACCTTGTCATGATCATTGTCATGACTTTTATTTATTTATTTATTTTGAGAGAGAGAGCGAGTAGGCACATGGGGAGGGGCAGAGAGACAGAGGGAGGGAGGGAATCCCAAGCAGGCTCCATGCCTTCAGCGCTGAACCTCAGGCAGTGCTCAATCCCACGAACTGTGGGATCATGACCTGAGCCGAAATGAAGAATCGGACGCTTAACTGACTGAGCCACCCAGGCACCCCTGTCATGACTGTTTTTTAACGCAGGAACATTCAGGAGACCCAGATGAAGTATTTATCTGAATGGGACCAGTGGAAACGGTATAGCAGCAAGTCTTGGAAGAGGTTCATAGGGAAGGCTCGCGAGATGACGACCCACCTGGAGCTGTGGCGGGACGACATTCGCAGCATAGAAGGTACCATGCCCCACACTCTGCGCACGGGCTCCGCGCTCCTTGGCAGGAGTCTCCCGTGCCCGGCGGAAAGTACAGCTTCGTTTTCTCTAACCTCTAGATGAAATTTAGCACTTCTTTCCATGATGAATGGGAGTAACAGCCCCAGTTAGGATTAGCAGAACTGTGTCTTTGTCAGCAGGAAAATCAGATATTTTCCTATCCCTTCCGGCTGTAATTGTCTTGGAACACCATTTATACTCATCACTACTTTGAAATTGTAGCAGTTAACCTGCAGGATCTGCCACTAGGTCTTGTTATTTAATGTGCTAATGAAGATGCTCCTATATTATTGTAGCACACGTTTGGTTTTTCATATTATAACCGGTTTTTAATATTATAACCATAGGTCTATTTGTATTTGGGGCGTTTAAAATATTATTCTGAAATAGGGTTCATTAGGCTTCACTGGACTGTCAAAGGTGCCCGTGGCCCTGAAAATACCAAGGATCCGTCCTTCCCCATATTGGGGGGAATTGGGCTGCAGGATTCCAACAGTCAGCTCTGGTTGCTCTAATCAGATACTATAGACAGGGTGGCCTCAACGACAGAAATTTATTTTTTTATAGTCTGGAGACTGGAAGTTCAAGACCAGGCTGCCTTCTCGCTGTGTCTTTACATGACCTCATCTTTGTGTGCTCTTGGGAAAAGAGGAGAGAGGGGGGTGGTGAGAGAGCTTCAGTTATGATGCCTCTTCTCGTAGCGTCACCAATCCCATCATGGGGCCCCACTCTTATAACTTCATCTAAACCCAAACACCTCCCAAAGACTCCACCTCGAAATACCATCAGATTAGGGCTTAGGGATTCAGCATATGAATTTCAGGGAGGGAGGAGACACAATTCATTCCATAGCAAGTATACAAAAAATTGCAAGTTGTGCCACAATATAAGATTAGGAAGAAACATTTCAACATTTGGGTGACATAGCAGGGCCAGGGAGAAAATACCTCTTAGGGTTACGTAGCCATAAAGCAAAAACAATTTACAAACAACTCCTCAAATCTGCTAAAGTGGGAATTTTGTAAAGTTTGTAGTGAATGTGGCAGGATGAATGGAAGAAATGCGGTCAATATTACTATTTTAAGACCTATAAAATACTCTTGGTAATTTATTCAATAAAATGCTTTTTAAAATTGTTCTATTGGGAGAATATAAACACAATCACAAGGGACTTCATAGGCTCACTTAAAACTTAACCATCTGGGGGGTGCCTGGGTGGCTCAGTCGGTTAAGCATCTGACTGCAGCTCAGGTCATTATCTCATGGTTCGTGTGTTCAAGACCCACATCGGGCTGGCTCTGTGCTGATGGAAATTCTGTGTCTCCCTCCCTCTCTGCCCCTCCCCTGCTCTCTCTCTCTTTTCCCCTCCTCCCCCCTTCAAAAATAAATAGACATTAAAAACAAACAAACTTAACCATTTAGCCGTACTTTTTTTGCGATCTAAGCACATCATGTTTGGAGCAAAATAATAAAAGCTGACCCCAGTTGAGCCTTTATTATCCAGTAGGTGTTGTGTTAAAGATTTCACTCATAACTAGCTTAGTTAATCCTCACAAGAACTTTTCATATAGGTATTTATCATTCGCATGGCTCTGATGGGTTAAAATACTTGGCCAGGTTCACTCAGCTAGGATGAGGCAGCCCCAGGATTTGAAGGATTTGATCCTGGCAGTCAAGCTTCCATGCCCAGCTTCCTTTCTGGTTTAGTGATGGCCTTTCTGGAGGTTTTCATTCAGAAAGGGGCTTGTGAGAATTCAGAAATGGGTTCATACAGTCATGGTCAGTTACAAAAGCACCTATTGCAATTCACGGGGGAAAGGGTAGCCTTTTTAGTAAGTGGTGCTGAGTCAATTAGATATTCATATAAGAAAAGATACTGAGTCCTACCACACACCATTGTCAAATAGCTAATTCAAGATGGAGTGTAGATTTACAAGTGAAAGAAGGAGAGCCTTAAAGCCAACAGCAGATACACAAAATGTTTCTTCCTCCCTCCCCCACCAAGTCCCTCAGCTTTCTGGCTGATTGGATGTATCGCGGGTAGTAGGTGTGGGTCGATGCTCCTGGTTGGTGATGTCTGGATTTCTTTTTTCCAGGGAAGTTTGGCACTGGGATTCAGTCCTATTTCTCCTTCTTGCGGTTTCTGGTGTTGCTGAACTTGGTGATCTTTCTGATTATCTTTTTGCTGGTTTTGCTCCCCGTCTTGCTCACCAAATACAACATCACCAACAGCACCTTTGTGCTCATTCCGTCCAAAGACACGGGTGAGTCTGAGGCATGGTTTGCTGTGAGAATGTTCTTGTCACTGTGTGCGTATCTACCACTTGGGAGGAGCACTGTGGGCTAGGAAAGTGGAATATTTAGCAAGCATGATATAACCTACTCCAATAACTTTATTTCGAGACTTTTATCTCTGATAATGGTGACACTCAGTTCCCACCAGTTATGTGCCAGATATTATAGCAAGTGCCGGACATGTATTTCTTTACTGAATGCTCAACAGGAAGTCACATCTTTTGGGCATTCTATTTATTCTAATGTGGAGGGTTTCTGTCATCCACAGACATTTATCGATTCCCTTCTTGATTCCTAGCTCTGTGCTAGGGGCCAGAAGTAGGGTGAGCTGAGTCAGTGCCAACTTATGTTAGAATTATAAAATGGGAGAACTGGAAATTAGCCTTGGAGGAACTGGTGCAACAATTTTTTTTTTTTTAGTAGCATTCACACCCATTGTGGAGCCCAATGCAGGGCTTTAAGTCCCCACCATGAGTTCCAGACCTGAGCTGAGATCAAGAGTCAGATGCTTAACTGACCATTAACTTTCTTCTTTTTAAAAAAATTTTTTTTTCAACCTTTATTTATTTTTGGGACAGAGAGAGTCAGAGCATGAACGGGGGAGGGGCAGAGAGAGAGGGAGACACAGAATCGGAAACAGGCTTCAGGCTCTGAGCCATCAGCCCAGAGCCTGACGCGGGGCTCGAACTCACGGACTGCGAGATCGTGACCTGGCTGAAGTCGGACGCTTAACCGACTGCGCCACCCAGGCGCCCCTAACTTTCTTCTTTTAACAAAGGGGAACTGAGGTTCAGAGAAGGGTTCAGAGATTCAGGGTTCAGAGGTTCAGAGATTGGGTTATTTTCCTCAATTTGTCACTCCCCTGTAATTGTGACTTTGTAGGGCATCCCACTGTGGCAGAGAATACTTTCTGCCCTGTTGGTATTCCAGTTGGCCATGTGACTTGTTTTGTCCAGAGGAATATTAGCTTGAAATGGTTTATGTGGTTGACGTGTCTATGAGAAGAGTCCTGGGGAGGGCCCATTGCCTCAGCCTGGGCCCCAGAATGAAGTGATATGGTGTAGACTTGAGCCCAACTGGAAGACTGGAGTCCGTCCTAGCTCAGCCTAAATCAGCTACATGAGCTCAAACTGTAGCTCCATGAATGAGAAAATATATATTTAGTATGTTTAGTAACTGAGGCTTTGAAGTTATTTGTTACATAGCAAAGGTAACTGATACAGAAAAAGTGAATTAGCTGTTCAAGGATAAGGTAGTTTCACTAAAATTAGTATTCAGATAATCTCTTGATCATTTGTACATATGTAAATATAGGTTGTTTTTATGAAGCTGCATGTTTATTTACACACCTGGAAAGATCTTTTAAAATTGGATGTGCTTACAATGGAATAACAATACATCAATCACATATTCCAAAACACGTGCAAACATGAACCCCAAAGCACAAAATACCAATATAAACAAAACACATGCTATAAGTAGACCCACATACATGTACAGAAACATGTACAGAAAAAGACACACATCCACAGATGTGTAGGAAGAATAGCGAGAGGGGAAAATGCTGCTGTACTTGGTGTATTGAGGTTTGGACTGCAGACAGAAAACCACAAGTTCATAAACACATCCACACATAATTATATGTGACATGTCTAAATATATATACATATGCATGCATATGTACACAAATTATGATAGACAAATTGTAGAGACTGTGAAACTATTTCCACTGACGTTCTTGTTTTTGTTTTTTCACAGATGTTCAATGCACAGTGTATCCAATAAGTAGTTCTGGACTCATTTACTTTTATAGTTATATCATAGACTTGCTCTCTGGCACTGTAAGTATTTCACATAATTCTGTATTTGGACCCTCGATATACTGCAAATAGGTTAATTTAAAATTTTTAAAAATGTTTATTTATTTTTGAGAGAGAGACAGAGACAGAGTATGTGCAGGGGGGGAAGCAGAGAGAGAAGGAGACACAGAATCGGAAGCAGGGTCCAGGCTCTGAGCTGTCGGCACAGAGCCCAGTGTGAGGCTCAAACCCACGAACCGTGAGATCATGACCTGAGCCGAAGTCAGACACGTAACTGACTGACCCCCCGAGGTGTCCCAAAAAATAGGTTAACTTAAAGATCAGTTTCCTGAGTATCTGTGGTGAGCCAAACACAAGAGTTGACCACCATCGGCAAGGATAATGTTCACCCACCTGCTGCTAGATTATACAGGAAATGGGCTTTGTCAGTTTCAGCCTTTGGCCTTTCCTTAGTCCCTGCCACCTTTGTATTGACCTATAGCAGAATACTGAGCTCTCCCACAGAAAGAAGTTTCAGTGAAAATAAACCCAAAGAGAATTTATTTAATTTCTCAGACATTGTAATACCTTACATTTTGGGGTCTTCAGCCACCCGGATGAAAGCCTGGACTCTTCCTCCCAGAAATTACACACAAAGACCTGAGTCACACACACGTTTGTACACATCCATACACATTCCCTGAAATCCGGAGTTGATTAATCCCAGGTTAACCCCCTGCTCTAAAGTGGAACTAATCTCCTCCTTGCTATAGTAGTTCCAAAGGGTTTTTATCTTCTTTCTTCTAAAAAAAAAAAAAAATGATTTTTTTGTGCGCTTCCATTTGTTTATCCCACTTTTTCCAGGAAATGAGATTGCAGCTATGGAAAATGGCCATCTCTGCCTTCTAGACCAGTTTTTCTCAGCCTCAGCACGACTGATATTTGAGAGCCATACTTCTTTGTTGTGGGGGCCGTCCTGTGCACTGTAGGAAGTACAGCGGTGTCCCTGGCCTCTACCTACTGGACGCCCGTAGCAGCCACAGTTGTGACAATCAAAAATGTCTCCGGACATTGCCAGATGTTTCCTGGGGGACAAAATTGCCTCTGGTTAGGAACCACTCCTTTAGAGGGGTGCCTGGCTGGTTCAAAATAGAGCCTGTGACTCTTGATCTCACGGTTGTGAGTTCTAGCCCCATGTGGGGCATGGAGCCTACTTAAAAAAAAAAAAAGAACCACTCCTTTAGATGCTTAAAAAATACAAACATATAGGGGCCCCTGGGTGGCTCAGTCGGTTAAGCGTCCGACTTCGGCTCAGGTCATGATCTCACGGTTTGTGAGTTCGAGCCCTGCGTCGGGCTCTGTGCTGCCAGCTCAGAGCCTGGAGCCTGCTTCGGATTCTGTGTTTCCCTCTCTCTCTACCCTCTGCCGTGTGCACTCTGCCTCTCGCATTATCTCAAAAATAAATAAACATTTAAAAAAAATAAAAAATACAAATATATAAAAAGTCTTTCTGAAAGTTACTAGTCTTCATTTTATTTATTTATTTTTATTTTATTTTTTAAATAGACTCCATGCCCAGCATGGAACCCAGCCCAGGGCTTGAAATCACGACCCTGAGATCAAGACTCAGGTCTGATCAAGAGTCAGACACTTAACCAACTAAGCCACCCAGGTGCCCCTGAAAGTTACTTCTGCTTTACCGAATGTGCAAAGCTTTGAATTTGTCCATTGCATTTGATTTCGAAAAAGTGGTTTTTACATCTCTGAGCTTATGTTTTTCTCACAGCAATTGAGAGGAATTATCAGACACGTGTTAAAATGTCCACTATGCAAAAGAAGAAACAGAAGCTGTATAAAATATGCAAGGGGGAAAGAAATTCAGTGAGTAACTCAAGGTCGCTAATGATAGCAAAGTGGGACCAAATTCCCAGAACTGCTGTTAGGCCCCTTTCTGTAAATTACATTCCACAAGAAAAGTTTCTTTTTATAGATCTCCACACACCATAACCTTTTCCTTATAGGAGAAATTATAGGAGCCTTAGATGCACTTGATCATAAATGTTTAGCATACCATGATAAAAGGAGAGATGGCCAGAGAGGTTAAACAATGGCTTGTCTTTGCTGAAAACAGTTGAGCTCATGACCACATCAGATAAATCTTTTTCCAGGCCCACTGGATCTTGGCCCTATAATGTTACATTATTTTTTTTTTTTAAATTTTTTTTTCAACGTTTTTTATTTATTTTTGGGACAGAGAGAGACAGAGCATGAATGGGGGAGGGGCAGAGAGAGAGGGAGACACAGAATCGGAAACAGGCTCCAGGCTCCAAGCCATCAGCCCAGAGCCTGACGCGGGGCTCGAACTCACGGACCGCGAGATCGTGACCTGGCTGAAGTCGGACGCTTAACCGACTGCGCCACCCAGGCGCCCTAATGTTACATTATTTTGAAGGGGAGATACTGATGACAGACAGCCCTGATACCGACCTGGGCCAATGAAAACAGGTTTCGTGTAGTTGGGCAAGTTTTTGTAGCCTGTGTACCCAGCCTTCAGAAGAATTAAAGATAGAATCTTCTGTTTCTATGTTTTTATTTCTAATAAAAATTGACTTAAAGGAAGCCATGATCTCGTGGTTCGTGAGTTCAAGCCCTGTATCAGACTAGAAGCAGAACCTGCTTGGGATTCTCTCTCTCTGCCCTTCACTCGCTCTCAAAATAAATAAATACATGTAAACATGTATTTAAATACTCAATATAACAATATATGGTTATCATAAAAAATACAAAATTTATAGAGTAAAAAGTGAAAGTACCTCTCCCCAGAGGCCACCTAACCTTTAACACTGGTTCATAGCCTTCTTGACCTTTCTCGTGACCTTCTGGTTCACAGCTTTTTTGACTTTACTCCTAACCTTACTTTATATGGTCTTACTTCATATTTTATAATACGGGTTTTTCATGGTCCAGACAGCCTTCTATTGCTTCCATATTCCTCCTTTATAAATGATACTATACTGAACATCTATGTACCTTGTATACTATTCCTGCTTTCTGTATATATTCCCTTTCCACTCTCCTACAGTTTTCCTGCTGTCAGAGGAGAAGAGTGAGGTGTTTGGTTATTCCCACCCTGAGTAGTCTGGGGGCTTTTCTACGCTATATTTTCACATAGGGCGCCTTTGGGGTTTTTGTTTTGTTTTGTTTTGGTTTGGTTTGGTTTGGTTTTGGTCTTGTTTGGTTTTGGTGAGAGCTTTATTGAGATATAGTTCATGTATCATATAGTCCATTTAAAGTGCACAATTCCATGGTTTTTTTCTGTGCCATCATTGCCAATCTTAGAACACTTTCATCACCTCAAAAAGAAATGTTGTGCCCTTCAAGTATCACCTACCAATCCTAACCAGCCCTGAGCAACCATTAATCTACCTTTGTGTACAAAATGCTCATTCCTGACATTTCATATACATGGAATCATACAATAGGTGGTTGTTTTTTGTTTTTTGTGGTTTTTTTTTGTCTCTGGCTTCTTTCATTTAGAGGGTTTTTAAAGGTTCACCCATGTTGTGCCATTTCTCAGTCTTGTTCCATTGGAACAAGATTCCAGTTGTGTAGATTCCATTAATAAGATTCCATTGTGTAGATACACCACATTTTGTTTATCCATTCACAGTGGACAGTTGGATTGTTTACAACTAGCGATTCCACACCTATACCTAGGAGTGAAATCACTGGGTCAAATGGTAACCCTGTGTTTAACTTGTTGAGGAACTGCCAGACTTTTCCAAAGCAGCTGCACCATTTTCCATTCTCACCTGTAATGTTTGAGGATTCTGATGTCTCCACATTCTTATCAACACTTGCTATTTACTGACTTTTTGATTATAGCCACCCCAGTTTGTGTGAAAGTGGAACCTCTTTGTGATTTTGATTTGCATTTCCCTAATGACTAATGGTGTTGAGCATCTTTTCATGTGCTTATTGACCATTGTGTATCTTCTTTGAATAAATGTGTATTTGGATCCTCCTTCCATTTTTAATTGGATTCTGTCTTTTTATTGTTGAGCTATAAGAGTTCTTTTTTTTTCTTTTAAGATTTTCTTTTTAAGCAATCTCTACACCTAACGTGGAACTCGAACTCACAACCCTGAGATCAAGAGTCTCATGCTTTATCACCTAACCAGCCAGGATCCCCAGGGATTCTTTATATATTCTAGATATAAGGTCCTTATCAGACACATGGTTTACAAGTATTTGCTTTTATTCTCTGGATTGTGTTTTCACTTTCTTGATAGTATCCTTTGAAGCATAAAAGTTTTTAATTTTGATGAAGTCCAATTTATTTTTTCTTTTATTGCTTGTGCTTTTGGTGTCATACTTAAGAATTCGTGGACAAATTCAAGGTCATGGAGACTTTAGTCCTCTATTTTCCTGTAAGAGTTTTCTAGTTTGGGCTCTTGCATTTAAGTTTTTGATCCATAAGTTAATTTTTATATATAGGGTAATGCAGGGGTTCAACTTCTTTTTCTTTTCTTTCTTTTGCATCTGCTACCCAGCTGTCTTAGTACCATTCTTGAAAAAACCATTCTTTCCCTTTATCAAAAATCAATTCAGGGGCGCCTGGGTGGCGCAGTCGGTTAAGCGTCCGACTTCAGCCAGGTCACGATCTCGCGGTCCGGGAGTTCGAGCCCCGCGTCGGGCTCTGGGCTGATGGCTCGGAGCCTGGAGCCCGTTTCCGATTCTGTGTCTCCCTCTCTCTCTGCCCCTCCCCCGTTCATCCTCTGTCTCTCTCTGTCCCAAAAATAAATAAACGTTGAAAAAAAAATTAAAAAAAAAAAAAAAGAAAAGAAAAAAAATCATCATAGATGTATTTGCCTCAATTCTATTCCATTCATCTATGTCTATTTTTATATTACTACCACAATGTATTGATGAGTGTTGTTTTATAGTAAGTGAAATTGGGATGTGTGAGTCTTCCAACTTTATTATTCTTTTTCAAGATTGTTTTGGCTATTCTGGGCCCCTTACAATTCAATGTGAATTTTAGGATTAGCTGGTAAATTACTGCAAAGAAGCCACCAGGGATTCTGATACAGATGTGCTGAATCTGTAGATCACTTTGGAGATTGCCATTATTCTCCTGATCCATGAACATGGGATGTTTTCCACTTATTTAGATGTTTAATTTTTCTTAACAATGTTTGATAGTGTTAAGAATGTAAGAAAGAAAGAAAGAAAGAAAGAGAAAGAAGGAAAGAAAGAAGGAAAGAAAAGGAGGGGGGTGCCTGAGTGCCTCAGTCAGTTAAGCGTCCAACTTTGGCTCAGGTCATGATCTCACGACTCATGGGTTGGAGCCCCATGTTGGGCTCTGTGCTGACAGCTCAGAGCCTGGAGCCTGCTTTGGATTCTGTGTCTGTCTCTCTCCGTCCCTCCCACACTCATGTTCTGCTTTCTCTCTCTCTCTCTCTCTCAAAAATAAACATTAAAAAAAAAAAAAAGACTGTGCGATTTACACTTCATGTTTTAAATCTATACCTAAGTATGTTATTCTTTTTGCACATGGAATTGTTTTCTTAATTTCATTCTTGGATCATACATCTCTGTATTTTTAATGCTTGGGTTTTATCCGTGCTTTGTTCCCCAAACACTAACCAAACATGCCTTATGATTCTGGCATTGTTCTGGTGTCTGGGAATTCAGGGATGAACAATGACACTGGAATGTGAGTTTCTTGAGGCAGAGACTGGTCTCCTGTTCCCTGAAGTGAATTCACCAGTCTGACCTCATGCCCTTGGTTTTGTTTCAGGGTTTTTTGGAGGAGACCTGCCTCTTTTATGGACATTACACCATTGATGGGGTGAAATTTCAGAACTTCACCTATGATCTGCCCCTGGCTTATTTGTTAAGCACGATTGCCTACCTGGCCCTGAGTCTTCTTTGGATAGTGAAAAGGTAAAATTTATCTCTTCATTGTGTTCTTTTTGCATTACCTTTGATGGCTGGGGTTTATTGGAGGTCTGTGGACTCTTGGAGCCATTGCCCAAAGGATGAGCAGAGGCCAGGAGTAGGATTTGGGAAGAAAGGTCCATGAGTCTTTTGCAGGCTGGGGAGGCCTGGAGGAAATGGAAGCAAAATTTGGGAGCTGGAGCAGAAGCCTGGGGTGCTTCAGTCAGTCATAATTACACACATTGGCCAGCACCATAATGTAACCTTACCTTGGATCTGGTGTGGATGCTAATCAGGTCTCTACTGGGTTGCAAGTGTTAGAGACCCTACTCTGATTAACTGCGGTAAAGGGGAACTGAGTGGCTCAGCGAACCAAGGTAGGGAGGAAGCTCCAAATTATAGGAGGTAAAGATATAGGTATGTCTTCTAAACAACCAAAAGCAAGGGCTCCTTCCTCTCTGATTCTCCTGGTGGCAGCTTCCTTACATAGACTCTCAGTCACAGGTTCAGAAATCCTTTTGAAGAGACTCATTGATTCTGCTTCATTCAGGTATCCAAACCCGACCCTTCAACTAAGGTCAGCAGGTCAAGGTCATAGGAGAACGTCTCATTTTCCATGGTAGACCAATGGTTCAGTGGGAGATGCCAATTCCCAAGACATGAATAGCAAGGAATATTAATTACTTTAATTACTAACAAACGACTGTCCTAAAAAGTACCAACAGCCAAACAATAGGAGTTGTATATCTTTCTTACATGAAGTTCTGAATAGAGACACAGGTTACTGTGGTAGACTCCTTCTCAGTCATTCTGGGATTCAAGTTTGCCAAACTTCAGCCATTTTCAGCATTGGCTAAAAAGGCAGGAAGGGAAAACAAACGTGGAGGAGTATCACATGGGAGGTGTTTATAGGCTAGGCCTGGAAGTGATGCACATCGTTCACATTCCATTAGTTATAGACCAAAGATAACTGTGGGGGAGGCTGGGAGATGTCCCTGGCTGGCAGCTGTTTTCTAGCACTAATATAATACTATAGGAGAACCGCAAGTTTTTTTTTTTTTAATTTTTTTTTTTAACGTTTATTTATTTTTGAGACAGAGAGAGACAGAGCATGAATGGGGGAGGGTCACAGAGAGAGGGAGACACAGAATCTGAAACAGGCTCCAGGCTCTGAGCTGTCAGCACAGAGCCCGACGTGGGGCTCGAACCCACGGACCGTGAGATCATGACCTGAGCCGAAGTCAGACGCTTAACCGACCGAGCCACCCAGGCGCCCCAGAACCGCAAGTTTTTAATGGACAGCTTGCTCGCTCTGCCCCAACGATGTTGGTCGGCAGGCAAGGTTATGGGTGGGCACCTCTCTTACCCGCTTCACTGTCTACATGAGAGCATAGGTGCTATAAGCCATGGGGCTCTGAAGCTCCTTATCACAGGCATAGAAGGGACCAGGATGTTGAGGACTGAGTTGCCCTCCACAGAGACTAGGATTTATCACCACAGAAAAAGCCCCAGAGACTAGCTGGGCACTCATATCCTGTGTTGGCATCTATGAGATGAAAATTAAGTGCTGTGTGTCCATCGCCCACTCAAATGGGCAGCATACTGATGCAAAAAAGCAGTGGCTCGTTTTGAGAGCAGAGAGATGCATGGTAGAGAAATGTTAGTTGATTGGGGTCTGGCTTTGCTACTCTATGATTATGGCAGGAACAGATCCAAGTTTTATGGGCCTGCGGTTTAGACAGTTTGGAGGGGCCCTCTTTAAGATGAAGAATACAAAAAGGTCTTGTGTAAAGTCTGAAAAAATAAACACAACAGGGCCATATGAACACATTGCTGGAGGCTCTCCCAGGACCTTGGAAGGAGTCCTGGAGAAGATTTAAGCTTTATTAGCCGAATAGTGACTCCACCTTCAGACCTTGCCCAAGCTCCTCACCTCAGGGCTCTGATTGCTTCCTGAGGAAGACTGGAGGGAGGCCTGGGTGTGATGTCATGGGGAAAGTCTATCCCAGGAGGAGGAAGTGCTATTAACAGCAAAGAGCCTGGACTTCGGGGTCCAGAGACCAAGGTTCAAACACCCCTTCACCTCTGTGAGCCTCATTTTCTTCCCCTGTGAAATGGAAGATTAACTGAAACAAGGCAGGTAAAGGACTTAGTACTGGCACCTTCCAGACATTTATTGAATTAAAATTACCATCGTTGTCACCGTCAAATTAGCCCCAGTTCTTGCCCTCACTCTCTGGATCTAGGGAAATAATTTTTCCCATCTCTGTATCTCTGCTTTCTCATCTGTAAAATGTAGTTTTGGTCTAAATCATAGGGTTTCAACTGGGATAGGACCTCAGAATCCCCATGGAGCTTGCTAAAATAACGTATTTCTGGACCCCACGTGGGATCTCCTGAATTAGGAATCTCAGAGTGTGAGGCCTCCTGGGCGTCTGCATTTTGGAAGAGCACCCCAGGTGGTTCTGATATACAATTTTTGCTGTGACCTTTTGGCAGAATGACTGATAACTGTAATTTCCTTATACTTCAGCTGTCTTTACAACTCACTAGCAAATCCTAAAAATATCCTGTTGCCTCTACACAGTCTGTGGCATTCGATGTTTTCGTATCATCAAAGGCTGGGGTGTATTTTTTCCAGGAAGGCATTTGAATGAATTAAAATTGTGAAATGTGCCACCAGGTGGCATCTGACCTAAATAGGTGCTCACTAAATATTTGGCTATTTTACCATTTAAGTCATTTATACATTGATTTATCCATCAATTATATTTGGTCATATTATGGTCCAGGCATTCCAGATATAAAAATGGCCAGATAGCCAGGGTACTTGCCCTCAAGGAATTTAAAATTTAGTCAGGTTGGGGTGCCTGTGTGGCTCAGTCAGTTAAGCGTCCGACTTTGGCTCAGGTCATGATCTCGTGGTTTGTGAGTTCAAGCTCCAGATTGGGCTCTCTGCTCTCAGCACAGAGCCCGCTTCAGATTCTGTCTCCCTCTCTCTCTGCCCCTCCCCTGCTCATGCTGTCTCTCTCAAAAAATAAGTAAACATTAAAATTTTTTTTAATTGAGTCAGGTTAAGGGGCTGCAAGATGATTGCAGATTAGGTTCATTGCCTTGAAGAAAATAGACTAATTTGAAGTGGGGGTCACAACTTTAGATGGGGCAGTGAGGAATCTTTGCAAGGGATATTTGAGCTGAAACCTGAAGGATGCAAAAGGAGCAGCCTTGGGAAGAGGCAGGGGAAGAACTGTCCCAAGAGTGGGTAGAGGGTCCTGTAAGTACAAAGGCCCTGGGGCCGGAGAAATTTGTGTGTTTATAGAAAGGAAACAAAGCCATGGTAGTTACAGCAGAATGGCCGTATGGGAGGTAGGATGGCACAGTGCAGGATCTCGAGGCTGTGTTAAAGAGTTTAGATTTATTCCAGCTGTGAGAAAAGCCACTGGGCAGATGACATAATTGTCAACAAGCTACCTGTTTAACTGCCACTCATATTTAGAATGGTCCAGAACGTGTCCATGTCAAAATGAGTGGAAAATGCAGCCATGCATTTTTTTTTAAATTGTAAACAAAGGCAATCGGTGGGCCTGTATGCTGTTCTTCAAAGAAGGGGAATCATGTCTTGGGCTCAGGTCAGTGGAAGGGTTCAAAATCAACCTGATCCGGAGCGAGGAGCACTTTCAGAGTTACTGCAACAAGATCTTTGCTGGCTGGGACTTCTGCATCACCAACCGTAGCATGGCGGACCTGAAGCACAGCAGCCTGCGGTATGAGCTCCGGGTGAGTGCTGCTGGCTTTTCCCTGGGCGGGTTCCTTGCCAGCAAAGTCGCGCCTTGGAGAGCGGGGGTTGTAGCTTGCAGAGCAGCTGGGTCGGGGCCAGGCTGTCTTCAGTACTCAGCAGGTTTCCCCAGTGTTGGTTTCAAGAGCTTTCCACGGAGGGTGCCCCTGGGTGGTTCAGTCGGGTAAGTGTTCGACTTCCGCTCAGGTCATGATTTCATAGTGTGTGAGTTCAAGCCCCACATCGGACTCTGCATTGGTAGTGCAGAGCCTGCTTGGGATTCTCTCTGTCTCTCTCTCTGTCTCTCTGCCCCTTCCCCACTTGTGCTCTGTCTCAAAATTAATAAATAAACTTAAAAAAAAAAAAAAAAGAGCTTTCCACAGAGATCCCCTTACCCTACGCATGGAGCTGATGGACTGGGGATTGGAGGAGATGTGGGGACATGATGGTGGGTGGGAGGGGAGAGTATCTTCCCTCCTTCCCCACCACCTCATGCTGTTATTTTTCACCTGTTGAGAATCTGTCATGCATCACTTATACCAGGAGAAGCAACTAAGGGGGGAGGCCACAACGATAAGGTGGAGTGGAGAATACAAAAAAGTACAAACGAATTTCAAGATTCATAAGGGGAGAAAGAGGAACAAATAGTATCTTGACCAAACCTACCAAAAAAAAAGAGGAGGGGACAATTATATCAAAACCATAATAGGGGCGCCTGGGTGGCGCAGTCGGTTAAGCGTCCGACTTCAGCCAGGTCACGATCTCGCGGTCCGTGAGTTCGAGCCCCGCGTCGGGCTCTGGGCTGATAGCTCAGAGCCTGGAGCCTGTTTCCGATTCTGTGTCTCCCTCTCTCTCTGCCCCTCCCCCGTTCATGCTATGTCTCTCTGTCCCAAAAATAAATAAACGTTGAAAAAAAAAATTTTCTTAAAAACCATAATAAAGTAAGATGGAAGGAATCAAATTAAATGTATTATCTGTTTAAATTTTTTTTTTTCAACGTTTATTTATTTTTGGGACAGAGAGAGACAGAGCATGAACGGGGGAGGGGCAGAGAGAGAGGGAGACACAGAATCGGAAACAGGCTCCAGGCTCTGAGCCATCAGCCCAGAGCCTGACGCGGGGCTCGAACTCACGGACCGCGAGATCGTGACCTGGCTGAAGTCGGACGCTTAACCGACTGCGCCACCCAGGCGCCCCAAAATGTATTATCTGTTTAAAGAAACGGCACAGGGTACCTGGCTGGCTCAGTCAAGTAAGCGTCCAACTTCGGCTCAGGTCGTGATCTTGCAGTTCATGAGTTCAGCCCCACATCAGGCTTGTTGCTGTCAGTCTGTCAGCACAGAGCCTGCCTTGGATCCTTTGCCCTCCTCTCTTTCTGCCCCTCCCCCGCTCACGCTCCCTCCCTCCCTCCCTCTCCCTCTCTCTCTGTCTTTCAAAAAATAAATAAAACATTAAAAAAAATTTAAAGGAATGGCACATACTGCATGTAAGTAATGTCACGAATAGGTTATGCTTCCGTTTTCACATTTATTGTGGAGTCTAACTGTTGCCTTAAATAGGAGGCTCTACCTTGACTTAGGTCTTTAGTAGACACGAAGACTAGTTGAGCTTGGTCTGGGAGGATACCTGGGGGGAGATGAATGCTTAAGGAAGGTCTTATAGATGGCTGGATAGGGCACGACGGTGAATCACATGTTCAACCCCTGAATATCGCTTCACCTAGTGCTCACAGATGAGTTTTCTTTGGCCCTCAGGCAGATCTGGAGGAAGAAAGAATACGGCAGAAGATAGCAGAGAGGACCTCGGAAGAAACAATACGGATTTACTCTTTGAGACTGTTTTTGAACTGCATTGTTCTGGCTGTTTTAGCTGCATGCTTTTATGCAATTTATAGAGCAACGATATTCTCACAAGAGCACATGAAAAAAGTGAGTACTCTGTGAAAGTCAGTTTAACTTTTGCTTTGGCTGGACATTTTGTAGGCCAAGTGCATTGTCTGAAGTGGATATAAATTTGGCTGATATGACAGAGAACTGGAAAATCAGAGGTGACCAATTTCCACTTTGATTTTGTTTTATTTATTTATGTATTGTTTTAAAAGTAGGCTTCACTCCCAGTGGGGAGCCCATTGTGGCGCTTGAACTCACAACCCTGAAATCAAGACCTGAGCCGAGATCAAAAGTTGGACACTAAACTGACTGAGCCGCCCAGGAGCCCACAATTTCCACTTTTAATAAAAATACAAAAGCATCCAAAAAGAGTGTTTGGAATTCCTCCTGGAATCCACAGGATTCAAAATTCAGGCTTGCCTGCCTAGATTTAATCGCCAACTCCACTACTTACTAGCTGGGGCCCCACTTTACCTAAAATAGCAGTTGTTTTAGGGACGCCTGGATGACTCAGTCGGTTAAGCGTCCGACTTTGGCTCAGATCATGATGTCGCGCTCTGTGAGTTCGAGCCCCGCATTGGGCTCTGTGCTCACAGCTCAGAGCCTGGAGCCTGCTTCGTTCGGATTCTGTGTCTCCTTCTCTCTCTGCCTCTCCCCCACGTGTACTCTGTCTCTCTCTCTCAAAAATAAATAAAACATTTAAAAAAGTTTAATAGCAGTGGTTTAAAAAAGCCAAGTTCGGGGGCACCTGGGTGGCACAGTCGGTTAAGCGTCCGACTTCAGCCAGGTCACGCTCTCGCGGTCCGTGAGTTCAAGCCCCGCGTCAGGCTCTGGGCTGATGGCTCGGAGCCTGGAGCCTGTTTCCGATTCTGTGTCTCCCTCTCTCTCTACCCCTCCCCCGTTCATGCTCTGTCTCTCTCTGTCCCAAAATAAATAAAAAACGTTGAAAAAAAATTAAAAAAAAAAAATTAAAAAGCCAAGTTCGTCTGGTGGCTCTACTTCATGAAATCAATCATCGGGGTCCCAGGTTCATTCCTGTTGTGACCCTGCCATTCTTAGGATGCGTTCTCTTCTATGTGGTACGAGACAGTGGAGCACATTCACGTTCTAACCAATGGGAAGGGGTCGGGGAAGGCGCACCCTTTCCTTCAAGGGCAAGACCTAGTGCTTGTACTTAAAACTTCCAGTCACATCCCTGATGGCTGTACCTAGCTATAAGGGAGGCCAGGAAACATAGTTTTATCCCAGATAGCCACATATGTGACCAATTAGTCTATTACTCTGAAAGGAGGGACTTGCTAGTCCAAATCAATTTCTACTATGGCCTTAATAATACTTTAAATTGCCCATTAATACAGATTCCATGGATTTTTTCTTTCCTTTTTTTTTAATGTTTATTTATTTATTTTGTGGGGGAGAGAGAGATATACCATGAGCAGGGGAGGAGCAGAGAGAGAGAGAGGGAGAGAGAGAATCCCAAGCAGGCTCTGCACTCAGCATAGAGCACGACTTGAGGCTCGATCTCACAACCATGAGATCGTGACCTGAGCCAAAATCAAGAGTCAGATGCTTAACTGACTGAGCCACCCAGGCACCCCATCCATGGATTTCTTTCAATACTTGACCTTAATCCAATAGAGCTAATTTTTCTTCCTGAGGTGCTAGAGCATAGTTCCTCTATTTGAACACCTGAGGAAGGAAATGGCTTATGTTTATGGGCCATGTTGAATGACATATATGTTTTCTTCTGTTTGTTTTCTAAATATGTATACTTGAGCACTTTTTTGTTTGTTTCTTGCAGTTTTATTGAAATATAATTGACATATAGCATATAAGGTGTTCAGCATAATGACTTGACTACGTCAGAGTTAAGTACTTTCAAGGTCGATTCATCTGGGTGCAAACTTCCCTTTGTTATCTTCACAGGAAATTGACAAGATGGTTTTTGGAGAGAACCTTTTGATATTGTACCTGCCTTCTATTGTGATCACGCTGGCCAATTTTATCACCCCAATGATCTTTGCCAAAATCATCCACTATGAGGATTATTCCCCAGGCTTTGAGATCCGGCTGACAATCCTTAGGTAATGCCTAGACATGCCAAGCAGATCACCACTTGCCTGCTTTCTTGCTCATGGCAGACATTGCTGATCAATTGTGGCACCTTTTCCTGCTGAGCCAAGAGGCCTCTACAGCCTTCAGACAGCCCCTGTGAATGAATCGGAGTGTGCCCATGCAGTGAAATCTCTTTGACTTAAGCATGTACTCAGTGGTACTATATTTTTTGTACATGTGTTAGCATATCAGCAGCCGAGGGCATGAGGTGGGGGCCCTGGGAGGCGGTGTTGCTCGGAAGATGTTAGAAATGACAAGTGTTTACCAGCAGGGGAGTGAGGGAATGAGAGAGAGAGAGAGAAGGGGTAAAATGTATCTTATTGGAGCTGTTGGCAGCTGGGGCTCAGTCCTACTGGACAACTGGGAGTTTGGGTAGGAAAGCTCTTAAGAGTGTTCCCACCCAACAAGGTACTCATCCTGGACTTCCTAAAGGTGGCTGGCTCCCGGAGGCATGAATTCCCTCACACTGTCACCTCACTATCCGGTGTAAGGGCCTTGGGAGGAGAGGGGAGGAGAGTCACAGGGGTTTATTGCACGAACCTGCCTGAGGCATCTACTGGTATAGTGAGTACCAAGAAAATGTGGCTAAGTCACTGACCAGATGTGTTTCAGCTGACTTCTTATAACTTGTTGTAATGTCTCTCTTCATTCTTAATAAATGTTCAGTTTCCTAGAAAAAAGAAAGAAAGGACAGCTGTAAAGCAGGGCCTGGGGAGCTAACACAAATGAGCTGAAGAGAACCAGGTGGGGACAGTGTGAAATAGAGCATTTCATACCTCAGAGGGCATTTGCTTCTTAAAAACAAATCTTTTTTTTTTTTTTTTTAATGTTTATTCATTTTTGAGAGAGAGACAGAGCATAAGCAGGGGAGGGGCAGAGAGAGAGGGGGAGACAGAGAATCCCAAGCAGGCTCCAGACTCTGAGCTGTTAGCACTGAGACCGACGCGGGGCTCGAACTCACAAACTGTGAGATCATGACCTGGGCTGAAGTCGGATGCCCAACCGCCTGAGCCACCCAGGCGCCCCCAAAACTTTTACAGAACAAAAGGTATAATGAACCCCCCATATGCCCATCACTTAGTTTCAATCATTACCAACATTTGGCTAATCTTGTTTCACCTGTCCCGCTCCCCAACTTTTGCTGGATTATTCTGCCCAAATCTTATTTCACCTTTTTTTTTTCTTCCTTAACATACTATCATCATACCTAATAAAATCAAGCCAGTTACCTGATGAAGTTGCAAATGGCTTTCTAGGATTGTTTTGTTCAAACCAGGATCCAAACAGGATCCACATGCTACGTTTGGTTGTTATGTCTCTTAAGCCCCCTTTATTCTTTTAAGAATTCCCCTTCCCCTTCTTTATGCCATTGATTTGGGTGGACACTGGGCATTTGTCCCGTAGAACATCGCCTAGTGTGGATTTAGTTCATTGTTTCTTCGTGGTGTATTGTATCCTCCTGTTGCCTACAGTTGCTCTGAACTGTGTCAAATCTGACTTTTCATTAGATTCCGTTTTTAGTGGTGGGCCCATCCCCAGTGGTGCTGGGTACTCACATTCTGCCAGGAGGGACACAACGTCAGGTGGCAGGCTATGTATCCAGAAGAGTGCTTTGCTCCCCCCTCCTAACTTTTTCATATTTCTATTTTTTTTACAAGCAAACAATAGAAAAGCATCTTTAAAAAAGATTGGCCCACTCTGTCCTCCTGTCTTTGTTTATTTGTGAGAGAAAGAATGCATGAGAGGTGCAGAGAGATGCATGCAGAGAGAGAGGGAGACAGAGAATCCCAAGCAGGCTCCACACTGTCAGCGCAGAACTTGACATGGGGCTTGAACTCATAAACCTTGAGATCATGACCCGAGCCAAATTCAAGAGTCGGACGCTGAACCAGTTGAGCCACCCAGGCGCCCCTGCCCTCCTGTCTTGAATCCTGCTTCCCCCAGGCAGCTCTCATCTGCATGGTTGCCATTGTCCATCTGCCTGTTTTGTATTCTTCCAGTAATAGGATCCTATCTAAGTGACACTCTGTAACATGCTTTTTCCACTCCCCAATATACCAGACATCTCTCAAAGCTTCTACTTAGAAGACACAATTAGTTCCCTTCAGGAATGTGTAATGTTCTGTAGTGTGGCCGCATCATCATGGATGCAGGAATTCCCAGCTTTTTGATCTCCACCCCCCCCCCCGCCATTTAAAAAATTGTAGCAAATTACATACACAGCATGAAATTTCCCATTTTAGATATTTTTAAGTGTACAATTCAGTGGCATTAAGTACATTCCCAGTGTTGCTACCAGCACTACTATCCTTTTCCAGAACGTTCTCATAATCCCAAACAGAAACTCTCTAATATTTCTAGATTTGCTTTGAAGCTTTTCCACTCGTAGCTTCAGTTCCAAGGAGCCGGCCTGCCCTGAGGCCTCCTCGTCCTGTACCCTCCCCTCCCTCTTTTCCCTGCAGGTGTGTGTTCATGCGCCTGGCCACCATCTGTGTGCTGGTATTCACCCTGGGCTCCAAGATTACATCCTGTGATAACTACTCCTGTGAGCTCTGTGGCTACAACCAGAAACTCTACCCGGTGAGGCTGCAGGGATGCGGGTGTCCTACAGGGTGGGTCATCCTGGGGTGACAGGCTCAAGGTTAAGAGAACAGCCCTCAAACCTCTGGGTTTGAATCCCAGATTGGCCCACTTTCCTGCTGTATGGCACAGTCCGACACAGGAGACACTTCTATAGGCTTGAAAACCAAAGTCTGTGCTGGAGCTCAGAGGAGCATCTGCTGGTGGCCTCCAGAGGTAGCAGGATCTGTGGGCAAAAAGGGCTCTGGAAGGAATCTGAGAACCTGGCACTCTCTCTCTCTCTTTTTTTTTTTACGATTTTATTTTTAAGTAACCACTCCACCCAGTATGCAGCTTGAACCCACAACCCCGAGATCCAGAGTGCATGCCCTACCAACCGAGCCAGCCAGGAGCCCCAAGGGCCTCATTTTCTCTTGATCTCTTTGGTTCCAGTGCTGGGAGACCCAAGTTGGACAGGAAATGTACAAGCTGATGATCTTCGACCTCATCATCATCTTGGCCGTGACGCTTTTTGTGGATTTTCCTAGAAAGTAAGCGTGAGGGATACCCCTCTTATTTCCTCTACCCCTCCGACCCCCTCCCGAGTCCTCGCTGGAGGCTCCCACCACAGCTGCTTCACAGAGTGCTGACAGAAATCACCAACAACCATCTGGTGACTTTTAACTTGCTCTGGGCCATTGACCTCATGGTCCATTAGGTGCCCCCTTGAAAGGCAGCATAAACAGAAATGGTGCTGCTTTCCATGGGGCTTCCGTGGAGGTGGCTTCCAGCCATTAGCACAGCCACTGTCAGGGGAGACCTGGGTTCATCCCCCAGGACTGCCACTTGCTGGTCATGTGACCTTGGGCAAATTATTTAAGCTCTGTGCCTCTTTTCCCGCCTGCGAAATGGGTATGGTAGCATTAGCCACTTGACTGCACCGTCGTGAGGATCACATGAGAAAACGCAGAGATAAGTACTGAGCACTGAAGAAAATACTATCAACACATGATCGCCATTATTTTAAAAAATTTAAAAAAATTTTTTCTTAATGTTTATTTGAGAGAGAGAAAGAGAGCATGAGCAGGGGAGGGGCAGAGAGAGAGGGAGACACAGAATCCAAAGCAGGCTCCAGGCTCTGAGCTGTCAGCACAGAGCCCGATGTGAGTCGTGAACTCATGAGCCTTGAGATCATGACCTGAGCTGAAGGTGGACACTCAACAGACTGAACCACCCAGGTGCCCCACATGATCACCATTATTTTGTCATCATATTATTATTGGCATCTCCTTGAGCCTTAAGTGAAACTGTTTACTTAACCACTTTTTTTTACCCAGGTGTACAAATTATTCAGGCATGTCAGAAGTCCAGTAAGCCCTTCAAAACCAACCTTAAAAAAGAAAGTGTTCTTTTAAAAACCTACACAAATATGACATGAATATGTGCTTATTTAAAAATGTTAAATATTTAGTATTTAAATAAATACAGAAGTCCAGAGAATAGTGAGACTTCTCTTTTGTTACCGTCCCCTTAACTCCCCAGTCCTACCTTATTTCTCAGACGTGGCCATTGGGGTAGATCCAGCAGTCCTGGGGCATCTGGGTGGCTCAGTTAAGCATCTAACTCTCGATTTTGGCTCAGGCCATGATCTCATGGTTCATGAGATCCAGCCCTGTGTCCAGCTCCATGCTAACAGCGTGAAGCCTGCTTGGGATTCTCTCTCTCCCTCTCCCCCTCTCCCCTACCCATACATGTGCATTCCCTCTCCGTCTCCCTCTCTCAAAAAAATAAATAAATAAAAACAAAGACACATTTACATAACTACATGTATAAGTAAACACACAGTCTTGCTAGAAGTGTTCTTTTTCCGCCTTTAAATGGGATCATGGTACATCTGCATTGGTCTGCAGCTTACTGGTTTTCCTCCCTTGCACACACAAAATATCATGAATAACTTTCCAGTCAGGACACATGGATTTTCCTTGTTCATTTTAAGGACTGTATAATGTTCCACTGTGTCTGTGGCATATAGTTTGTCAATGTAGCCCCTACTGATGGTCATTTAGGATGTTTCTAGTATTTAAAAAAATTTTTTTTAATGCTTGTTGTATTTTTGAGAGAGAGAAAGAGAGAGGGAGAGAGAACATGAGCAGGGGAGGAGCAGAGAGAGAGAGAGGAAGACACAGAATCTGAAACAGGCTCCAGGCTCTGAGCTGTCAGCACAGAGCCTGATGCAGGGCTTGAACTCATGAATCATGAGATTGTGACCTGAGCCGAAGTCAGTGCTTAACTGACTGAGCCACACAGGTGCCCCTGTTTCCAGTATTTTTGCTAACACGTGGCAATCCGCAGTGAACAACTATGTGTGTTAGTCACAGGCCCCTGCTTCTGGGGTTTCCGTGGGAAGATTGTAGGATTCCAGGAAGCAGTTATGCTAGGTGGTAGGATTCTCATAAGCCATTTTCTGTGTGAATGCACATTACTTTTTGAGCCAAGTGGCAAGCCAGAACACAGAGACTGCCATTAATGGTCACCACAACCTGGTGCGGTAGGTTGTGTTATAATTCCCCTACGTTCCATATGAGGAAACGAATCTCATCTAACCTTATCTGTCTGGTAAACTGTAGATCTGAGATTCAGACTCTGGTCTCAATGATTCCAGAGTTCACGGTCTTCTGCATCTAAACATATGACTAACCAGTTTCCATGGGAAATGTATGTGGAAATAGCCGTGATTTGGGGGACGTGGTTCTGTGGCCTTGGCAGGGTACTGGCAATCCAGGTGAGAAATTGTCCTGTTTGTTTCCAGGCTCCTGGTGACCTACTGTTCCTCTTGGAAACTGGTTCAGTGCTGGGGACAGCAGGAATTTGCCATTCCTGATAACGTTCTGGGGATTGTTTATGGGCAAACCATTTGCTGGATTGGAGCCTTTTTCTCCCCTCTTCTCCCTGCAATTGCAACCTTGAAACTCATTATCATCTTTTATGTGAAAGAGGTAAGGAGAAGGTTGGGCAGGGGGCTGATATTCTGGACCATTCTTGACCTTTCAAGGCATTCGGCAGTCGTGTGACTGGAGCCTATCCACGTCCCATCAGATGTATCAAAACTACATTCCTTATTTGATACATATTTTTATTCTGGAAAAAAAGACTTTGAATGGATTTCCACATTTTTAGAATTTTGAGAGTCTTAAGATTTTTTTTTTTTTTTTTTTTTTTTGCTCCTGTGATTTAAATGTTGTTTTTGTAGGTAACCATCTAAAAGTTGAGTTGTAATTGATCCATCAGTTGGTAGTGGCACATCTGGTGATGTTTAACAAAGCATTTATTAATTTAAGTTTTGTCATTTTCTGTTTAGATGTTGGAGGCATTGTATTTATTTTCAGGTGTCAGTTATTTGTGTAGCTCCTTGAAGGGCTCACGGGAAGTAAGTATTGTGTCTGAACTAAGTGCTGAATGGATAGAGTGGCCCTGCAGATGACTGACTGATCTGGGCTTCATTACTGAGCCTCTTTTATTATTATTGTTGTTATTATTATTATTGTTATTATTATTATTATTATTATAGAAGTAATAGATGCTCAATATCAAACATTTAAACAATGCAGATATGTATACAGTAACTTTCATCCCTTCTTCCAGAGGTGCCATCTACTAATAAGCCCCACACTTATTAATTACCTATTATGCCAAGCCCTGAGGATTCAGAAATGGAAATAATAATTATAATATTAATATTCATAATGACAGTAATCATAATGATAAGAATACCATGTACTCCCCTGCCCCGCTGAACACTTTCCATAGGCTATCATATAATGCTTATACACATCTTTTGAAGTAGGTACTGACGTTAATCATATTTTATAAATCAGGAAGCTGAAGTTCAGAGAGGTTAAGTAACTGGTCCGAGGTCACATAGCTTATAAGTGACTCCAGGTTTACTTCACTCAAGACCTAAGCTATTTATTTATTTTTTTTTAAATTTTTTTTTTTCAACATTTATTTATTTTTGGGACAGAGAGAGACAGAGCATGAACGGGGGAGGGGCAGAGAGAGAGAGGGAGACACAGAATCGGAAACAGGCTCCAGGCTCTGAGCCATCAGCCCAGAGCCCGACGCGGGGCTCGAACTCGCGGACCGCGAGATCGTGACCTGGCTGAAGTCGGACGCTTAACCGACTGCGCCACCCAGGCGCCCCAAGACCTAAGCTATTTAATCCTTAGGTAAGCAGAGCCTTGAATTGAGCCTACCCAGATGTTTTGGCCGTTGAAGAATGTTCTGATGCTTTCATTTGGAAACTTCAATTGGTTGAAGTAACCGAAGGAGAGGTGGATGTGAGAAAACATACAGGAACTTGTTCCCTTTCCAGAAAATATTGGTTACCCAGTGCTTTCCTGGTGTGTAGCCCAGTAAAGATATGTGGGAGTAACAGAATAGGTCAGGGGCACATGGCTGAGTTCTGACACTACAGGCCTGACCAGCTAGCCACCCCCAAACAGGACACCGGGGGTCCCTAGTACTCTTTGCCGTCTGGCTCAGATGATTTTCTGGCTTCTGCTGAAGTCAGAACGGCTTGCTACTCCCTCCTAGTAATGTATTTTTTAAAAATATTAAGGGGAAATCTTATGCCTATTGCTATACCTTTCACCCCCTTTCCACTTGATATTTCCACAAGTCTTTTTGGCCCTGATGGAAATATTTGTTTTTAATATACAGGAGAAATAAATGCTTTTAAAAAATTCATGTAATGAATTGTATGTTCTCATGGATCCATTTAACACATATTTAAAGTCCTGTAAAGTTTTTTTAAAAACTTAAATGAGATCATACAGCACAGAGTTCTGAAATCTGCCCTTTCATTTCATAGTATTGTCAGGGCAGGACGCAAAGCCCATATCCTTTCTACCGGCTCAGGCTATTCCATTGTGTGGATGCACTTTAACCTTTAAGTGACTCCTGTCATAGCTCTTTCACTGCTTCCAGTTACTCCCTGATATCAGTAACTATAGCAGTAAACATCCATATACGTGAACTTTGGCCCATTTATTCTATTTTCTCATCAAGATGAATTTCCCAGCGTTGGGGTCTGGATTAAACATGTTTCATTTTCATCTGTATTGCTGACTACCCTCTAGAAAAGTGGCATCAGTTTACATTCCACTGGGATGCATGAATGTGCTCATTTATCTTCAAGGAAGCTATGCTCTTACTTTTTTCTCTTTCTTTCTCTCCCCTTAGATAAGTCTTCTTTACACCTGCCGGCCCTCCCCAAGGCAGTTCAGAGCATCCAATTCTAATTTCTTCTTCTTGTTGGTGTTGCTGATAGGGCTGTGTTTGGCAATAATACCTCTGACGATCAGCATGGCACGGTAAATATGATTTTGTTTTCGAGAACATTTCCTTGCTTCTTGACATGTTCCTCTTTTATATTAAAGGGCCCATTGTGTTCTTTATTGGTTTTCCAAATTCATGGCGTTCCACCTGCAGAAGTCAGTAAGTCACTCCTGGTTTAGCCAGGCCCATCGTTGTTTTGGAATCTCTCTCTGGATGCTGGAATGTCTTGGTCCACTTCCAGAACTTTGGCTGGCTGTGTTGCCAGTGTTTTAGAGTACTGGTTGGGTCTGCCCTCCCCCACTCCCTTTTCCTAGGACCTCTCTGCTGGTATCCTTTTGGATTATTTCTTTGTTTCTGATTACAAAAATAATACATCTTCATTATAGAAGAATTTGGAGTATCTTCATTGTGACAGGCACTGGGCTCAGTGCTGGGAGTATGGAGACGATTCAGACATGGCACAAGGAATGTTGAGTCTAGTGTAGAATTTGGTAGGAGCAGAAATGCTTAAGACTAGGGATCAGAAGTTGAGTGTTCAGACCCCAGTGACCCTACTCCTTAAGAGTATAACCATTTATACCAAAGGCCAACAAACATTTTCTGTTAAGAGGAATCCTAAATATTTAGGCTTTGTGGCCATATGGTGTTGGTAGCAACTGTTCAACCCTCCTGTGGCATCACGAAAACAGCTGTAGACAGTATACAAACTAATGGGCATGACTTATTCCAATAAAACTTTACTTATAAAAAACAGATGGTGGGCCACATTTGACACTAGGGCTATAGTTTACCAGTCTCTCTGACTTATATTCTCATGGAATTCCATTTCTTCATCTTTCAGTTAAAATCCTTGAACTTTTCTGTCTCTCAGATTTTATTTTTTAACCAATTTGACTGTATATCTTTATTGTTTTTTATTATAGTAATAGATGTTATGTATAAAAAAACTGTACACAAGGGTGTAAATGAAAGAGAAACAAATTTCCCATTATCCTCCCTTAGTTGCACTCCACCAAGGTAACCACTATGAATATTTTAATATTAATATTTAATATATTAATTATTCAGTATATTAATGTAAATATATTACTTCCAGAAATTCATATGAACACTATTTATTTTTTAAAATATTTTTAATTTAAAATCATTAACATTAGGGGGCGCCTGGGTGGCGCAGTCGGTTAAGCGTCCGACTTCAGCCAGGTCACGATCTCGCGGTCCGTGAGTTTGAGCCCCGCGTCAGGCTCGCGTCAGGCTCTGGGCTGATGGCTCAGAACCTGGAGCCTGTTTCCGATTCTGTGTCTCCCTCTCTCTCTGCCCCTCCCCCGTTCATGCTCTGTCTCTCTCTGTCCCAAAAATAAATAAACGTTGAAAAAAAAAATCATTAACATTAAAAATTAATTAAAGTTAAATTAATTTAAAATTATTAAAATATTAAGTTTTAATTATTTGATATATTAATAAATATATTTATTTCAACCCAAAATTCATATGAACACCATTTATTTTAAAAGATATTTTTAATTTAGGGGCACCTGGGTGGCTCAGTTGGTTGAGCATCTGACTTCAGGTCGGGTCATGATCTCACGGTTCGTGGGTTCCAGCCCCGCATCGGGCTCTGTGGTGACAGCTCAGAGCCTGGAGCCTGCTTCGTTCGGATTCTGTGTCTCCCTCTCTCTCTGCCCCTCCCCTGCTCACACACAGTCTCTCAGAAATAAATAAATGTTAAAAAAAAATTAACAAAATATTTTTAATTTAAAATCATTAAAGTTTTTTAATGATTTTAAATTTTAAAATTAATTTAAAAGTATTAAAATATTAAAATTTAATTGTTTAATGTATTAATAAATATTAATATATTTATTACTTCCAGAAAGTCATATGCACACTATTTTTATTTATTTTTTCCTTTTTTATTTTATTTTATTTATTTTTACTTATTTATTTTTTTTAATATGAAATTTATTGTCAAATTGGTTTCTATACAACACCCAGTGCTCATCCCAACAGGTACCCTCCTCAATACCCATTGCCC